TAATTCTATATTTAACCTATTTTGTATGAGATGCTGTAGTGTCAGTTTAACTGGTACGGATTGTTGGTGGAAATATATATTTACCGAAGCACAATACCAACCTACAAATAAAATATTGCCCGAAATGCCGTAGATAAAATATAGTACTCAACTTACCATTTGTATTCGCTAATTTTGTATATCACCCGAATTGTTATGAATATGATTACGAATAAGCCTCGATGTTCTGTTGGCGATAATAACAATGCAATTTATTCGAAGTCGAATAAAACGATTTTACGCTGGTATTTCCCTCGTGCCGCTGCATATGTGTCACTAAAGGCGTCTGAATGTCTCTGTTATGACGCTCTGTTACCCTCTGTGTACCTCTGCTACCCTCTGCTACGCTCTGTTTCCCTCTGTTATTGTGTCTTTGTCTTTTAAAATGTCGAACGTCACGTCACAACGTCACACGTCACGTAATTCCTACATTTCACGTCCTACGTCAAATGTCACGTCAATTCACGTGACATTTCACGTTTTGTGTCGAATGTCGCATAAATGTCACGTCCTGCGTCGAATGTCACGTCCTGCGTCGAATGTCACGTCAATTCACGTGACATTTCACGTTTTGTGTCGAATGCCACATAAATGACACGTCTTACGTCGAATGTCACGTCCTGTGTTGAATGTCACATAAATGTCACGTCCTGCGTCGAATGTCACGTCCTGCGTCGAATGTCACGTCAATTCACGTGACATTTCACGTTTTGTGTCGAATGCCACATAAATGACACGTCTTACGTCGAATGTCACGTCCTGCGTCAAATGTCACGAGACATTTCACGTTCTGTGTTGAATGTCACATACCTGTCACCTCCTGCGTCAAATTTCACGACGTTTAACGTTCTGTGATGAATGTCACATAACTGTCACGTCCTGCGTCGAGTGTCACGTCCTTCGTCAACGTTCTCTTAGCCACTGTCCGGAAAAGAAGAAGAAGAAGAATGTTCATACTGATCGTTGATATGGCTTCTGTGCTTTGACACCTCATACGTCAAAATCAGACCAATAGCAACGAAGATACGTTTTAGCGCCCATTTGGCAACGCCGCCATCTTTGTTTTTTGTGTCAAAGTATTCCCCGTCTCATCCCCGTTCCATCAAGCCCTCGTGTCACGTCCTGCGTTGAATATCACGTCAATTCACGTTCTGCGTCGAATGTCACGTCAATTCACGTGACATTGTACGATATATGTCAAATGTCACATAAATGTCACATCCTGCGTCAAATGACATGTCCTGCGTCAAATGTCACGTCCTACGTCGAATGTCACATCATTTCACGTGACATTTCACGTCCTGCGTCAAATGTCACGTTCTGTGACAAATGTCACGTGACATCCATCGCTTTGACACCTCATACGTCAAAATCAGACCAATAGCAACGAAGATACGTTTTAGCGCCCATTTGGCAACGCCGCCATCTTTGTTTTTTGTCCCGCTGCTTTCTCCCCGTTTCAACGAGCCCTCGTACGCCCCGATCGGACCAATAGAAACGAAGATACCCAATAATGACCTTTTGGCATTGACCGATGCGCACGGCACATACTGCGTTCAACCCCATTTTTCATCCCCTTTCCAACGAGCCCTCGTACGTCACGATCGGACCAATAGAAACGAAGATACCCAATAATGACCTTTTGGCATTGACCGATGCGCACGGCACATACTGCGTTCAACCCCATTTTTCATCCCCTTTCCAACGAGCCCTCGTACGTCACGATCGGACCAATAGAAACGAAGATACCCCATAATGACCTTTTGGCATGCTCCGATGCGCACGGCACATACTGCATTCAACCCCATTTTTCATCCCCTTTCCAACGAGCCCTCGTACGTCATCCTACGTTAAGCCGTTTGGAACTTACGACCGGGGGTTGCGATTTTAGGGGTTGCAATTTAGGGGTTGTGCCAGATTCTGTGTACCCTATCTACTGCACTTTTTACGTAGAATGAACTGTTCTCTCAGAAACAACGCTTAAAGCGACCGGCGATATTGAATGTCAGTTACGCGTGCGAAATCAATATTAAATAAAATTTGTATCAACTCAAGGGTAAAAAATCGATATCTCTTGATCAGAATGTCCTATCAACAAAAATCAAAATGCGTTTTAAAGGTGAAGAGCGTTTCGTATGCAAGTTTTGTATTATGCTGCAAATAAAGTCAGTTTCTATAAAGCTGTTCAATAAATAAAATTTGTGCGATTTTTGCCATTTTTTACGATTCTCGTGAGATCAATAAAATTTATTAATTTCATTGGCCGGTCGTACTTAAATTTTCATTGTTGGAAATCAGTATTTAAAACCTATAACATGAAAATTCGATTTTAATGTTTGGCAACAAATATGAAGCATTTTAAATATGACTAAAAATGCCTCTCCAATAAGAGGCATTTCACGTTACGTGACAGAGATTTTTTGTGTAATTTATAGCAGAAGTTAAGTACTTTTTAAAAACGTATTAGTGTAATTAAAACAGAACAGTTTTAAACGTTTTATATTATTTGTAATGTGAAAATTCAGCGTGTTTTAAGCATATTTCAAATGCCTCACATTTGTTGCCAAAACTTAAAACTAAAACTTCATGCTATAGGTTTTGAAGATGAAAGAGATACATGGAATTGATCTCATGAGAATCATAAAAAATGGTAAAAATCGCGCCACGTTTAGTTCTTTAGCACCTTTATAAAAACTGAGTTAATTTGCGGCAAAATTCAAAATTTGCATGCGAAAGCTAAACTCTTTACCTTTAAAACGCATCTTGATTTTTTGGTCAAGACATTCGGATCAAAAGATATTGAATTTTTACCACCAAGCTGATGCCAATTTTATTTAGCATTGATTTCGCGTGCGTAACGACATTCAAAATCGCCGATCGCTTCAATCGTTGTTTCTGAGAGAACAGTTTTTTCTACTCAAAAAATGCTTATAAACGTTTTTGTTCAAAATTATATAAGCTACATTTTATATTTAAAAAAAGGTTAAAAACAACAAATCACCTGAAGAAGATGGTATATCCCCTGAGCTGTTCAAGTATGGAGCAAACGCCGTAAAAATACATAATAAAACTTGTTGCATCCATTTGGAGAAAAGGAAAACTCCCAGACAGTTGGAATGTAGGTATTATAATACCTATTCACAAGAAAGGGGATCCACTAATATGTGACAACTATCGAGGCATTACCCTCCTAAATACGGCTTACAAAGTACTGGCTCATATACTTTATGATCGTTTACTAGTATATACTGAGGAAAAAATAGGCAAATACCAATGTGGATTCCGAAAAGAAAGATCAACAATTGATCAGATTTTCGTTCTTAGACAAACCTTAGAAAAGCCTTATGAATATGGAATTGATATCAACCACCTCTTCATAGATTTTAAAAGCGCTTATGACAATGTAGACGGAATGGCAGAACTAGATATTCCGTCGCATCTAATAACATTAGTAAAGGCAACTCTTTAGAAAGTTGAGTACAAAGTCAAGGTACAAAACAGAGTGTCAAGGTCTTTTCAAATATATACTGGATTACGCCAGGGAGACAGACATAGAGAAATCGAGCATAACAACGAGAGGTGGGATCATCAATAGAAGTGTACAGATATTGGCCTAAGCAGATGACATTCACATAGTAACACTGACAAAAAGATACCTGATACAGGCTATTAAATCATTAGAAAAAGCCGCGAAGAGAATGGGACTGCAGATCAACGTATCCAAAACAATATACTTACATGAAGGTCACGAACAGCACACAAATAGCAGCACCGCAAGATCTGGTGACAGAAACACACATATTCGAAGGGGTCTCGAAGTTTATATATCTCTCGGAATACAACTAAATAACAGCAACCTAGTAAGCGTAGAAATTAAGAGAATATACCTGGCGAAGAGAGCTCAATTTGGACTAACATCACACATAATTAGCAGAAATACCTGATACTAAGATACTAATATATGAAACTCTTATTAAACCTGTCCTGACATATGCGTCAGAGACATGGACTATGGTAAAAAGCGACGAAGAACTGTTAGGCCGCTTTGAGAGAAGAATACTTATACGGAGAAGTACAAGAACGCGGGATATAGCGCAGGCGCTATAATTTTGAGTTGTATCAATTGTATCAAAAAATGTAACATCATCCGATCTATAAAAATTAATAGACTAAGGTGGCTAGGACACCTTGAAAAAATGAACACTGGAGACCCCCAAAGACAGATATTATATCAAGAGCCAGTAGGAACCAGGAAGAGACGCAGACCAAGATCTAGATTTAAAAGTGAAGTCGAAGATGACTTGAGGAATCTAGGGGTCAGAAATTGGAAAACCAGGGCGAAAGATAGAGGGGAATGGAGATTAATTCTTGAACAAGCCAAGACCCACCCATGGTTGTACAGCCAAAGATGATGATGACATTTTTTATTTGAAACATTTTTTCTATGGTGTACAGATTCATGATAAATCGATTTTTTCCGATTTCCCCCTCTACCTAAGGAGTTTAAGGGGAAAGCCCGGATGTAAAAGTAGTAAACTTTTTTGCATCATTTTAAGGGTCCTAAAATTGACATTTTCGACAAAATTCGGCTTATTCGTATGATTGTTAGAGGTTCAGTGGCATTTTCGTCTCTGACGATAGGAGTAGTTGGATAAGAGTAGTTGAAAGGTTTAGCCCATATAGTTTTGTTTTTGTATAGTTCAATTTAAAAAGTAATAAAATCGCGTACAGAACAAATGTTTCATGATCCTGGAAAATGAGCAAAAATACAGCGTTTTTGACAGTCACTGTAACTACTATTTAACCATTTTTTTAAGTTCTATATATGGGTAGAATAACAAAAGTTTATTTATTAACAATTTAAGTGAAAAATGGTTGATTTTTAAAATTTTCGTCTATATAAGTTAATAATAGATTAATGTTATTGTAATCTTAAGTAGATACGATCTTTTCTTTTTTAGTATAATATCCACGAACGAATGTTGCTGTGATGCTATAATCGAATATAAAAATATATACAAACTCTTAATAAATCTCTTCGAAAAATACCCCGGAAACGAAGAGATCATAGTACGTCTGACTTATACACTGGGAAACATTGTTTCTAAAATCGATAATACTCGAGTGCAGGTAAATATTTAATGAAAACAAGTCTATTTTCTACAAAATATGAAATATATAACATACAGTTTAGTTATAAAATTGTTGGTTTTCAGTATTTCTACGAAGAAAATTCTATAGAAAGCTTGATCACTTTGTGGAAAATTTATTTGGAACGTACACTGAAAAATTGTTCCCTGAAACTAGAGGCTAGTGATGGACTAAGCAGTAACAGCGAAGATGTTATGATAAAGGTATGTCAGTTTTCTTTATTTTACCTGCAGTCGTTTCTGCATTTTGTTTTTATTTGAAGGAATTATTTGTTCTTTCAACGTACCTTCTGATTTTGCTACGCTTACATTCTTTATATGGTACCTATACTGTATTATTTTCAGATTATTAGAGTAGTGGCTAATATGGTGATCAATCCAGAAATTGGCAAGCGCCTTAACGAGAAATATGGAAATACGTTAATCGAAGAAATACTTAAAGTTCTTATCAGCAATCCCTTTAAGAAGAACGAAGAACTTGTGCTGTCAATATTAAGTACTCTCAATAATCTTTCTTATTATTACACTAGCGATGTGGAAGTTGATATTTTTCATGTCAAACAAGTTGATATAGTTGAAGGTAACGTATCTCTTTGTCTATTTTTCTATATCTTCTTGCCTTCGAGTAAGGTAAGGACACCAATTAAGGCCACGTTAAGGTTTAAATGTCTGTAATATTTTATTCAGCAAAAATATGGGGGGAAAAGTCTTCTATACATATTGCCCAAAATTTAAGCTATCGAATTTCACCATAAAATACTTAAAGAAAATAAATAAAGAAATATAAAATTTTAACATTGAATAAATCTTGAATATTTGGCCTTATTTGGAAATAGTAACTTAATAAGGCCAGATTCATTTTTTAAATAAATTTACGTGGATAATAAATTTTAAACCTAAGAATTAAAGAATAAATACAAAGTATAGTGAAAGAAACTTTAATTCATATTAAAAATAAAAATTTGTCAATACATTAAGTACATACAGATTGAACGAATTTAAAACGGATCATACAATTTAATATATATCTGTTTAAACTGCATTTGAAATAGTGGACCAATATAAAACTTGGACAAAAAGAAATCCATACCCGGTGTTAGACATTGTATAAAATATCGTTCAACTATCCGTCTCCGTTTAGAACGCACCATAGTCTAGAGCGCAGCTCAAAGTCAATGTTGCCAATCGCCGTGTAATAATCCGATTTGCGGATCTTTTTGAGAGTTATATCTTCTTCGTATCTTTAAATAAATCGGATATTTGTCTATATTTTTCATTGTATTTACCAATCTACTACAACAGACTAATAACAAAAATAAACTTAATGGTTTGTAGTTATTTCAGAAGTTTGTACTTATTTTAGAAACATCTAGTGGAATGATACTGGCAACACCGCTCAAAATCTCCATCTCCTATAAACGAAAGAGGGCCGGCTTTAGGAAGCGATAGGTGGTTTGACCACCTATGAATGAGTTCTTGAATTAGTTCAGAATCCAGCAGCCCGCTGAAGTATTGGATTTTTATAATATGATTATTTGACAACCTTTTGTTGGCCAACCACCTACAGCAGAATTGAGCCGAAATACATAATATTTCGTATGTTCCGAATTTATTTCGTTCAATCTGTATATCGCACATTTACACACATCGAGGACATACAAATATATCCTTGTCGTCTTTTGTTAATCCTATACATTCCTCGTGGATATACTTATTACAACAAACACACTTGCGCATATCAGCCACTCTATCCTCATCACACAAAAAAGAGTACCATGCATCTTTTTTTAAATTTGGTTTTGCTGAGCTATGAGATTGTGCACTAAATAAATCCCTGGTAACTTCTTGTGCTTTCGCATTAATGGCCTGTCGGCGTTTTTTTGTTGATACTTTTAACATCAGTGTAATCCTCAAACCGCTAGAACTAAAACTTGCATTTAGTTCTTCACATGGCTCTGTCTCACTTATTTTTGCAACCATGTTTTATCATATTTATTTGACGTGTTAACTGCATCACTACGAGGATAGATTGATATTAAACTAGCCTTTGATAGATGGCGCTACTTGATACCGAATTGGTTTCTGTGTTGACATTTGCCATTCATGACATGACGTCTGTCAAAACTTTAAGTTTTAAAAACAATTAGTTTGGTTTTTACAGCCGTCAAAAGCAAGCAAATTTTGTTTTTTCGGAGAAATGGAAAAAGTCGAGTATCGTTCGGTGATTAAATTCCTCCACAAAAAGGGTAAAACGAATGTGCAAATCAAAGCCGAGCTGGAAGAAGTTTACTCTCAGGTTGCACCTTCGTTAGCTACAGTAAAATTTTGAAAAGCTGAATTTGTTCGTGGTCGTACGAGTGTTTTTGACGATGAGCGTCCCGGGAGGCCAAATGAAGTCACCACGCCGGAAATGATCAACAAAGTCCATGACATGATTATGGCAGATCATCGAATTAAGCTCCGCGAATTAATAAAGGTCCTAAACATTTCCTACGAACGCGTATACAACAGCATTTGCCGTCATTTGGACATGAAAAAGCTATCCGCGCGATGGGTGCCGCGTTTGCTGACAATGGATCAAATACGAAAACGTGTGACCACTTCGGCGACGCTCTTGGCGATGATACGGCGCGATTCTAAGGATTTTTTTCGCCGATATATCACCGTTGATGAAACCTGGGTGCGTTATTACACACCGGAAACCAAAGAACAGTCGAAACAGTGGCGCAAACGCGGCGAAGGGCCGTCGAAGAAGGCAAAGAGTGCACGTTCGGCCAGCAAAGTGATGGCGACTGTTTTCTGGGATGGGAAGGGCATCATCCACATCGACTACTTGGAAAAAGGAAAAACAATCAATCGTGAGTACTACGCAGCATTATTGGATCGATTCGATGCCGAATTGCGTCGAAAACGCCTCGGTTTGGAACGCAAAAAAGTGCTCTTTCACCAAGACAATGCACCGGCTCATCTATCGGTCGTCGCCATGGCAAAATTACACGAATTGGGCTATGAATTAATTGAATACCCACCATATTCTCCAGATTTTATTGCCAGCGATTTTTTCCTGTTTCCAAACCTAAAAAAATGGCTCGGAGGACGCCGTTTCGCAACAAATGATGAAGTCGTCGCTGAAACTTAAGCCTATTTTAAAGAGCTCGAGCAAAAGTACTATTCGGATGGAATAAAAAAAATTGGAACATCGTCTTACTAAGTGTATTGAGCAAAAAGGGGACTATGTTGAGAAATCAATCGATTTAATTCTAAAAAATTTGTTTTTTCTATCAAAGGCTAGTTTTATATCAATCCACCCTCTTATAATCCTCGCTAGAAGCTGTACCACTTGTGTAAGACTCAGATCAGTTACTGTCTTCATCTGAGATGTAAGTTTGAAAAACTTTAGTCAGTCCGTTTTTTTTGGTAATTTTTCTTTTCTCACTACTCGAGAATGCTTTGCTTTTCTTATTTTTGTTTACACCGCTGCAGGATAGCTGTTCTACGAAATTTGTATTCTTTTTGCCAGGTGTTTCAATTTCTGTACGGTTGTAGGATTTTCTTGAAAATCTTCGGCGATTGTTTCAATCTATCGTTGTGTCAGACAACTAAGTGTAAAGACAGCATCCAGAATAGCATTTGAATTTAATGGCCATATTCCAGTTGCTTTAAATCCAGAACAAATATTATTTTGCGTAATTGCGTTTTTCCAAACCGGCGTAAGTATTTGCCTAAATCTTGCTTGGTTGATGGTACGTTCGTTATTATAGTTCACCCAAAAATTGAACACCTCCTCATCCCAGTAAGATTTAAACCTCCTGAAGACTGATTTATCGAGTGGTTGAAGCTCATGTGTGGTGTTTGATGGTAGACCAGAGTTACATCTTTTTTATTGCGGCTTCTACAATTCTAACGTCTAAATGAGATGAAGCTCCATCCAAAATTAAAAGGGCTGCTCCAGGATTTTTGAATCGGCAGAAGTGATCTAACCACTCCATAAATGCATCTGCTGTCATGCATCCTTTCTTGATCATTATAATTTTTGTTTCTGCTGGAAGATTACAATACCATTCTGATTTTATTCGTTACCCTTTTATAATGATAAGTAGCGGAATGCTGTTGTCTATGCCGTTGTCACATGCCACGAATGTTATATTTTCGCCGTGCTCTGGTGCAACGATATCCATTTTTTTTTTTCAGCTATCTCCTTTTTAACCGAGAATGGATGCCTTATTCCTGTCTCTTTGACAAAAGCATACACATTTTTTCGTAATATTTTGGGAGTTAATGGCATACCCACATCATACAATCTTTCTATACGCCTAACCAATTCATCTTCCTGAGGTTTTGTAGGTGTTGGAGGCCGCCCTCCAACGTCGTTTTTGTGAATTATCACTAGCTAGATGGTTGCGTAACGTACTCCGAGGAATATTAAATGTAGGTGCTGCCTAATGAACAGCTATGCCATTTCTTACGGCATTCATTGCAGCTTCAATGGCCTCTTCGGTCCACTGTGCTCTATTCCTGGTGTCAATATCTGCAAAGAAAAAATATTTTAAACGATTATGTACACAAACTGTTTAAAATGTCAACCAGGTCTTAATTATTAAGGCCAGTCGACTCTTAATAAGGCCAATCAATTGACCTTATTAGGCACTGTCTACTTTTCTATTTAACATAAAAGGACAATAATAAAAAGCAATCTAGCGAAAAAACAGTACTATTTCCTAAAAGAGTATTAATTTTCTATTGCTTTACAATGAAATAATATTTGGTATATAATATTTAAGTAATTTTATAGTGATTTTATAACTTACCTAAAATTTATAACCGAATTTCGGCACCGCAGTAAACACGTGTCTAATATACTTCGTGCTGCTATTTGATACTACCGAATGGCCTAGACAATTTTGACTGGGAAAGCGATTTACAGTGATATCTAGTAGATAATATCTATATTTAAGGAAATATCTTAAAGCTTAAAATCTTAATTGAGAAAACCAATGAATACAACCTTCCGCTGTACTTAGCATTCGTAGATTATGAAAAGGCTTTCGACAGCATTGAACACTGGGCGGTTGAAGAAGCTCTGGTCAATAGTAGAATAGATTCAAGATACCGACAATTGATACATGATATTTACCAAAACGCAACCATGACCGTAATTCTGGACGACAAATTAATAACGGATAATATAAAAGTTAAACGAAGAGTCCGACAAGGCGATATAATTTCACCTAAACTGTTTACCTTGAACCTCGAAGACATAATAAAATCAACAGATTGGGAAAACAGAGGAATATGTATTAACGGAAAATACCTAAATCACCTTTGATATGCGGATGATATACTCCTGATCTCCTCGGAACGACAAGAACTGGAATTAATGCTGAATGAACTTCATGAAAAATCACTGCAAAAAGGCTTAAAAATTAACTTCAACAAAACAAAAGTAATGATAAACACGGAAGACCAAGAGGCAATAAAAATAAAAACGGAAAAAATGGAACAGGTAAATGAGTATATCTATCTAGGACAAGCAATCAGAGCTAATAGAGAAAATCAAACAGCCGAAATATCGAGACGAGT